GTCTGTGACGCCAGACATGACTCAGGCGCTGTATTCTGTATTTGGGGAAATAAATATATCTTATCAGACGTTTTGTTGTGTAGTATCGCTGAGTATTTTTGCGAATTGTGCAAATTTACGAGTTATGTAAATTTTGCGGATATTTCTGGAGTACAAACATCGCGTGATATTTGTAATCATTTCTCACGTTATATGCACTCTACGAAGCACAGTTGGATAATAAAGGCTCATACTAGGCGAAAACAAAATCGCAATTACTTGTATCTTTACTTTTTATCTATTGTTTTTTCATTCGATTATCTGTTTATAAAGCCACAGATATCCTGAGCTCCGAAAATATGCAAGTGAGTTTACGTTACGCAATAGCAGAAATATATGGAATTGTATGGCAAAAGACGGCCGCGCTATCGACATAAAAAAATCTATACTTTACTACCGTGTAAAAGTAATGCAACCGATTATCGTCGATTATCGCGCTTTCTTCTTCCGATACCGATATAATGTCTTTCCAGCGATTTATCGCTGAGTCAGGGATGAGCCATTGCGATATATTATGGAAGTGCAATGATTATGAACTTTTTCAGATATTTCGAATAAAGCGTTATGACTGATCGCACCTTTTTTAAGATTATTTGCTCTCGATCAAGATTTTCCTTCTCTATCAATGAATCTCTGGTGTAAATGGGAGCGTGATGGGTATTCTGGGATTCTCTTACACCACGTTCGCTTTTGATTGTTGTGGCAAATGGCGGAAATAGCAAGAGATACGTTACCTTCTGGTTTTGATGAGCAATTTTTGAATGAGGTTGAAGCCAAACTGATTTGTTCGATATGTCATTTAACGTTAAAAGACCCAGTTCTCACAAGATGTGGACACAGATTCTGTAAGGGATGCCTCGACGAGCATTTCAGAAGGTAATGTTTTGATGCTTACAAATCAAGCATATCCGTCCATGGAAGATCGAGAACTTCAGAAATCTTTCGTTTAGTTGCTTTTTTATAACATGTCATTTGTGTTTCTAGGAATATTTATGTAAAATATGGTATGGTTTTCATCGACAGGTCCTTTTCTAATATATAGAGGTAGAAATTTCGTGTTCGCCATCGCAGACTGTCTATCAATCTCAATAGCGTTAAGTTCATTACGCATATGTTTTGCATCACACTGTAAATCTTGAATACTTTTCATCAATAATTTGTCATTTCGCCGATTTAAATAGTGTACTTCAAGAAAAATCATAAAAATGCTTTGTTAAAACGAAATGGATCTTTATACTCATCATTTTTCTCTGAATGCGTCGAACACTTACTCGTGGTCTCTCCAGATCTCATAAAGAGACATCCCGATCGTTCTCAGAGCGACTGAGTCGATCAAGAAGATACAACGGACTAGTTACCGAGAAAATCATTAGCAGAGTGAGGCAATTATGTCTGTGTTTTAAGTGTATCATTGCTTAGATGGGCTACTGATGGTTGCTATAATTTAAAAAATCTGATTTTGTTTTCTTTATTTTGTTGTCATTATTGATATTTTTTTTAGGCAAGAAATTGAAGGCCGAAGTCTAACTTGTCCTGCGGACAGAGACGCTTTGGACAAAGAGCGGGTAATGATTTTATCTTAATGCCTTCCAGAATAAACTTTACGTTGAGAAATTAATTTTTATAAATATGCAGCGAATTAAGTTTGCAGCTCATGCAATTATGAGCTACGGCAGTTCATGCATGAAGCAGAAGACGAGTATTTCTAGGCTTTTCTCGTCTACCAAATTTACTGAACTGACTCATCGAATCAGTTGTCTGTGTAATATTCCCTAGTCAGATTAAATCAATTCAACGAGGTCTATACAGGCCTTTTTTCCTTAATTTGTCTTTAACAAGGTTAATGTTCGCTAACGCCCAAAGGCTACCTTAATGTAACTGGTGTACCATGGAGTTTTTTTTTTGCAAATTCATTGATAAAAGTTTTTATCCGAGGTAATTTCAATCTTTGAAAAAATTAGACAGGGTTATTAAGTTCTCCCTCGAATTGCCTTCTTGCCTTTTTGCCAGAGGAAAAAAAGTGGGTCTAGTACGATTGTCCCAAGTTAGCTACTGGATGGCACTAAGATAGCAATTTATGCTGGAAATTACAATACTGATATTTAGTATTCAACTACGCGTCGTAGAGTTTAGATGTCACGCGATATTTGTACTCCAGAGAACTGGTTAGACAGGTCTTCTCGCATCGCTCAGGCGACGAGTTGGATTANTCCTTGCACTTAGGTGGCACGGAAAGCCGTAAAAATCTTGAACAAAAGCTCATCTTTCAAACCGGCAGTCTAAATCCCACAGGGATCAATGAACGCTTTTCATTCCACTAATTTATTCATGTTTTTCTCGTTGCCATGCACCCACCAATAACGTAGCTCCATTTTCTGCCTTTAAAAGCACACACAACCCACAATTCCTCTATTCGCTCCGACGAAGGGCTAACGCTCGAAACGTCAGCTTTTGTAATCATTACGGTGGCCAATTTACCATTTCAACTTTGTTGATATATCCAAATTATTTCGTTACTCCCACCGACGCAGCCCTAAACAGTTTCTTTCGAAACTATATATATATAAATAGAATAAATGTTTGAAAGAAAATTTGCCCTGAGCGGGATTTGAGCCCACGTCCCTCCTGTTACTAGTCAGGTGTGATGACCACTACACTATCAGGATAACCATGCTGGCAACACGGCAATCAAAGATGTGATTTTACGTGATCGGAGACGTGGTCTTCCGGGAAATTTAACTTTCAAGGTGACAGGGTAGGGGAAGCCTATAACCCCATATGAAACCCAACTAAGGATCTATTAAAGATACACGACTGAAGTCAACAAAGGAGGATATATTACGGGTACAGGCTAACTTCAATGAAACAAATTCTGTATACGAGGGAAACCCTGACCCTGTACACCCCAAATAATCGTTAGATTCCTTTTAAATAGCGTGATTGTTTGAGCTTCTAAAACTTATTTTTAGTAGTTCATCATTGGCATTTTACTGTGTGTTGTTTGACCGTTACGATTACCTTGAGACCGGAGACCATTCCAGTTGACAAGACCACCAACTACTACGAACTTTCCAAAGCGCAACACGACAAACTACTTCACAACAGCATCACCAACTCCTACAGAAAATCGAATGCCAACACAGCTGATTTAATCAACGAAGAAGCAAAACGCATATCCACCAACCTTAATCTTGCAGACCGCACCGAACGCATCGCTACGAAACAGGCCTTCATCTCGTTAAAAGACCACAAAGACAACTTCGCTAACAAACTATCATGCCGGCTAATTAATCCCGCTAAAAGTGACTTAGGCCAGGTCAGCAAGTCCATCCTAGACAAGATTAACAACAGCATCCGAAGTAAAACATCTCTCAACCAATGGAAAAATTCCTCAGAAGTCATCAACTGATTCAACCACATCCCCGACTAAAACAAGCACTCCTTCATCATATTCGACAGCGACAACTTCTACCCGTCCATATCTGAATCCCTCCTACTAGATGCTATCAACTTCGCCAGAGCCTATCACAACATAACACCTCAAGACACCGAAATCATCATGCACTGCAGAAAATCCCTACTCTTCGACAAAGACTCCCCCTGGGAAAAGAAAAATAATGACTCCTTATTCGACGTAACCATGGGCAGTTACGAAGGCGCTGAGATATGTGATCTCGTCGGTCTGTTCATCCTCAACTCCCTGAGTTCGACTTCTAACAACCGCGACATAGGACTATACAGAGACGACGAACTCGCATTACTAAAAAACGCCCCAGGACCTCAAGCGGAACGAGCCAGAAAGAAATTCATTAGTCTCTTTAAACAGCACGGCCTCGCCATCTCCATCCAAACTAACCGGAAAACAGTCAATTTCCTGGACATCACGCTTAACCTCGAATCTGGTACATACCATCCTTACCGCAAGCCGAACAACGACCCCCTCTACATCAACACGAAATTCAATCATCCGCCGCCCATAATCGCCCATCTACCTGAATCAATCAACCGACGACTTTCCGTCAACCCATGTAATAGAGAAATATTCAATAATGCCAAGCCTCCATACGAGTCCGCGCTAAAAGCAAGTGGATACCACACCAAACTAGAATTCCGTGACTACGAAGCACCCACAGCTAACGCCCGCAAGAACAGAAACCGGAAAACAATATGGTTCAACTCTCCCTTCAGTAAGAACGTCCAGACCAACATCGCAAGAAAATTCCTTTCCCTAATCCAAAAACACTTCCCGAAATCGCACCGCTGCTCCAAAATTTTCAACAAGAACACAGTCAAAGTAAGCTACTGCTAAATGGAAAATATGGAATCTATTATCAGCCGCCACAACAAAAACATTCTCGACACTCCCCAAACTACCCAGGAAGATGGATGCAACTGCAGGACGAAAGCGAATTGCCTCCTAAACAATAAATGTCTCTCTACAAGCCTGATCTACAAAGCCAGCGTTACAACGAACAACGACCCCAATGGAAAAAAACTACACAGGTCTCACAGAAGGTGCATTTAAACGCCGCTACACCCAACACACGCTGTCTTTCCGCGACTCTAAGTACTCCAACTCCACCGAACTATCAAACACATCTGGGATCTGAAAAACAGCCAAACAACCTACTCGATTCACTGGTCTATTCTCTGCCACGCTCCTGCCTACTCTAACAAAACTAAGAAATGTAATCTGTGCCTCGCAGAAAAAGTCTGCATTCTCCAAGCCGACAAAAACAGTCAACACGAGATCTGAACTAGTTTCCAAATGACGCCACGAAAACAAATTCTACCTATCGAACTTTAAAACTTAGCTTTTATTCACCTTCAAAAGATTTACTTGTCACTAAACAAATCCTACCTATCGAAGTTTAAAACTTACCTTTTATTCACTTTCAGTAGAATTACGTGTCACTAATTATAGGAACTGAGTTTCAAACCGCCTAATTATAGGTTTCACACCCCATAATTAGCGTATTGTATATAAGGTATGTCTTTCATTGGAATAACCACCGTCTGACGACTGCGAAAGCATGAAACTACGAGTCACGGAAACTTTGTTTCGTTGTTGATTTTACTATTTCTATCTACGTTCTACTCTATGTATTGAGTACTATACAGCCAGCTAAAGCATCTCCTCCAGTTATATATATCAGTATATAATATATATATATATATATATATATTATATACTGATAATATATAATATTATCATGAGTCATTGCTGTTGCAATTGCGCATGCTCGCTAGTTTACTCTAGTTTGAGCACTCTGGCATGGCTTAGACGATACCACAAAGGTTGGGTCGTTTGGGGTGACCGTCTCGGTTCTCCCCCATCCTAGCATTAGCACTGCACTGATGAGGCCCAGAAGGCCGAAACAGTACTGTCTGCAGTTAGATATAGCTCTTTGGCATACAAAGCTTTGCTTTCATGTCCAAATTGAGCACTCTATCTAGGATGAGTCATTGCCGTTGCAATTGCGCATGCTCGCTGGTTTACTCTAGTTTGAGCACTCTGG